AACAGATATAGAATAAATTGTGAAAGTAAATAGCACTTTATGCCCGGTGCTTTCTTAACTACTCCTGCAATTTGTGAACGAATGTGAGGGAGGCACTTTCAACCTTCTGAGAGAGGCTCTTGACGCAGGGCGATGGGGCGGTCGCCCCAATAATTTCGTCTATAGTTAAGCTAACAACATTAACATTTCGGACCTTGGTACACATAATACGTTCCGATATCCGCCATTTTAGTTCGCATACTCGGGAGTACCAATATTTGTCATCAAGCATGCAACGGCGACATTGCTGAACCTTAAAAAAAGTCTTGACTTAGAGTTATATTTATGATAGAAAGGGTGCTCCTGAAGATGTCGCACAACCTGAATCCTAAGCGGTACACATATACTATTTTCAGGCTGTGCGTCATCTTGGTGCGCATACTTCAGGAGGTCCTTCAAAAAGTATATTTGCTTTGATTTATCAGGTATTGAATCGGAACCATTTAGGTTCAGGTTGTGCGTCATTATGGTGCACAGATTTGACGAAAAACACTAATACAAATATCACGCCGTAAAAAAATTGCTCAAGGTTGTAAACCTCACACCCATGTATAAATGATGGGCAATGACTCCAAGATGAGAAGAGAATGCTGTTGCACGCCATACTATTAGGTCACGTTTTATCTTCTGTCCAAAGTTAAATGGGAAAATCCCATTAGATCCTTGAAATAAGAGCATGACTTATAGAGGGCTCTAAAGGAAACTGCAAAATTTGTAAAAGCCGTTTTTGAGAAAAATTAGTAAAACGTATGTTTCAATTTTTAGAACTCTTGTAAATTCAACTTATTTCTTTCACATATTTTTTTTTAAAATTTCAACGAATGTCCTCTATGTTTTAAAGCCCTGTATATATACCCGCCTATAACTTGAAGGCTTGCCGCCTCGTTAACAAATAAGTTTTTGTTTTTTGCTCGAGGCGTTTAATCTTTTTGAAAACAAGTTTAGCAAGTTTATTATCAAGTGGCAACTTAGACAACCTTAGGGTGCCTAACGCCTTGTTGAAAACCACCGCGCTGAAGTTTTCCAAAACTAAACAGAGAGTCAACCTGAGACGAAACGTTTGGGAATCAAGTACACAAAATGCACTATCTAAACTGAATTCGAAATTTTTGAGTTCTATTAGATTTTTTTCTTTAACCTCTTAAATATATTGTAAAAAATTAACAATGCTTTTCTTTTCACCCCCGTTGTCTCAAATTGACATTTGTCGAACGTGACAAAAAACTCTACTTCATGAAACTTGACAGTTTAAAAATATTTGTTTCTTACGCGAGAATGCGGCCAAACATGGCAGCTGGTTGCGACCGCACGTACGACGTTTTGTTTGAATTCCATCTCAAAGCATCTGGAACGACTAACCCAGACAGTTATTTCCCATTCTCTGTCCGGAAAGGAATGCCGTTGTCCCCATAACAGCCAAGTAATTAGGCTTACCATACATACCGCTTTAGGCGGGAAACAGTCCCGGTTTTTAGAAGTCTGTCCCGACGTCCCGACAAGTCAGCCAAAAGTCCCACTTTGGCGGTCGAAACATTGTGTGCCTGTTGTTGTTTGAAGGTGTTAGCGAATAAGTAAATTCTCAATGCTTGAAATCGGCAGAACTATTTCCTTAACCTTTATTCCTTTTGCGTTCCTTTATTCCTTTCTATTTTTCGAACTGAATCCGATAATTTAGACAAAGAATATGCGCATGAACTCTCGATGACAATATGGTCAATGAAGACAGCCGGGATGGCTTTAAATATAAAGTTACAGGATCACAGCTAAGAGGTCGTGTCTTTGGAGGCGTCCCGCTTCGAAGTCACACAGCTAAGAGGTCGTGTCTTTGGAGGCGTCCCGCTTCGAAGTCAAAAAATGTGGTAACCCTAACTATAGATATAGTCCTTCATATGTATTGTGTATCTGTTCGTAAGCTGTAAACGAGCCCAATATATTGATGTATGGATTAGGCCAGGGGTCAGAAACCTTTCGTCGCTCGCGGGCCAAAATTAAGGGTTGAACGTCATTGGCGGGCCGCATATATTTTCAGAAAGTTAAAATCTGAACGGATGGCCGATGACTCGCACGTTTAAATTTTGAACACAGAATTTAAATTTTAAGCAGCGCGCGAAGACTGTACAACTCGTGAACTCAACTTGCTCGACTTTGTGATCTAAACTTTCAGATGATGAAGTGACACCTTTTATTGCAAACACCCTCGCCCTTAAAATAAAAAAGCTGTGGAACATACTAGGTAGGACGTAGGGGCCGGGCATAGACCATATGAAAAAGTTAACTCAATCGCTTAATACCGGTTTTCACACCGTTGGTATTGTGTGTAAATTCCCGCATTCGATATGGACTTTGTAATGTAACTGTTTTTAATATAATCGAACTGCCATAGGCTATTTTTCTATATATACGCTAATAATACGCCACTTTCGTGGTAAACCCCAACTAATAACTTAAGTGAAATCGATATTTTCGGCATTGAAAATGCATTTCGAAATACTGATCTTTTTCATCATGATAGTCATTAAATGTTTTAAATGGCATTTCATCGTAACTTCAAAAAAGTAACGGTGAAATGCCATTCAGAATACTTAACCTTTTTAACAGTATTACTGTTGAAAGAGATCAGTCATTAAACGTTTTAATGGCATTTCATCGTAACTTCAAAAAGTAACGGTGAAATGCCATTCAGAATACTGAACTTTTTAACAGTATTACTGTTAAAAAAGATCAGTTATTAAATGTTTTAGTGGCATTTCACCGTAACTTTAACAAGTAACGGTAAAATGCCATTAAACTTTTCAACAGTATTACTGTTGAAAAAGATCAGTCATTAAACGTTTTAATGGCATTTCACCCGTTTTTTTTCTAAAATAACGGTGAAATGCCATTCAAAATACTGAAACTTTTTAACAGTATTACTATTAAAAAAGATTAGTCAATAAATGTTTTAATGGCCATTTCACCGTAACTTCAAAAAGTAGCAGTAAAATGCCATTCAAAATACTGAAACTTTTTAACAGTATTACTCTTAAAAAATATCAGTCTTTAAATCCATTAATGGCATTTCACTGTTACTCCAATACTATTAAAACGTCTGTCGCCACTAAATCCGATATTTATTCATACATACCGGTACAGTATTAAGAACTGTAGTAGTGTACCGTTACTTCTTGAGGTTCAATATCTCCAATGGCTAAATACCGATAACAAGATACAGATACGTTAGTCGTACCCCACTTAGCTTCTCAAGGAACGGAACAGCGTCAATTAGGCTTCTTGCTAACACACTGACTGTACTTAACTCAGATTGCCTCTATGTTCTCACTTTAATATTTTGCACCTAATAGTCTCCATAATTGTGTGGCGGGCGCTACGGTAATGAAGGTTCCTATAATTGAAAAGATCAGTATATCCTGTACAGGGCCGGGTCATGCATTTTACATTCTCAAGACCCTAAGCATAGGCTTATCTTATGTCCCGATTAAGCCAACATAATACATGAATATTACCAATTAGCAGTGGCGGCGCGTCAATAGGGCCGACCGGGGCAATGCCCCGGTTGTTTTTTCGGTATAATAAAAAATATTCGAAAAATACCTCAATATCGGTTGCACAGACTGTCTACCTCTACACTAGCCATATTCTCCCGACATGGTTCATTTTTCGCTCGCAAAGCCTTCGCCGAACGTCGACGGGGCGACGCCGATTTTGCCCCGGTTGCTCATTGTATATCGTATTCTCACTTTTATCCTCCACTCGCCGCGTTTGTCTCGTTTGTTTTCTGTTTCTTTTACTAAATCATCGGGGCTAGACCGAAATTATGACGACACAATGCCGACGTTTCTTACAACAACGTGTTGACATATTCACGCATTCCTTCTCGTTCGTTGGTTGCTTGAAGAGTTGATAGTTTCCTCGCCTTCGTTTTTGTCGCTTGTTTCGCTATTTGAATCAGTTAGAGACCTTTAGTCCATTTGCTTTCGATCGTCCACAATCCTTTTGAGCTCTTCACTTCTTTCCGGCTTTGCATTTAGACCTCATAACGAATAAGGTTGATGCACTACTTCGCACTCCGTTTTCGCAGCTGCCGCTGGAACAAAAATTGGAGGTACAACGTCTTGGGCCTTATCAAGTAAAAAATTGTTCACTGGAACAATCCCATGACGGAGGAAAGCGTCGGCGTACATTCTGCGCAGAAACTTGGTATAGAAAACACGAATGGTACAGCGAGGACAAAAATGCACTTTTTTGTTATCATTGCCTACTTTTTGCTACCGCCCGTGACTCACGTTTGTGTAAATTTGGTTTTAAAGATCTTAAACATCTTTCCGAGCGTGCCAGTGATCATCAATCTTCTATGGAGCATCTGGACAATGCAGTAAAATACCGAACATTCGGAAATCTTAATATTGCAGCACAGTTGGATGAAGGACGCGCGGTTTCTATTCGTCGGCACAACCAAAACATCGAGAAAAACCGCCATGTTCTCCGTCGATTGATATATGTTTTGAAGTTCATTGGTTGGAGTTTGATTCTGGGTTTCGTTGTGGACAATGCACATCGAAGGTCGGCTTCACAGTCGAATTTGTTACGAGCCTTTGTTTTGACACTCACAAGTGCAGAGAAGCCACTTTCACATAGATAAGTCGCAGAAAATGGTGTTAGAGTACGCAAAGCCACATTGCCAACATTTTTATACACGCCCACGTATTTCACCCAAAAATCGTTAAGAGGCATTGATTCGAAGTCATCTTTTGCAGTGGAGTTGCACTTCATCTCCAAAAATTCCTCCTGCAAAGCGTCAGGCAGAATGTCCTCATTGAGACGAAAGGGATTCCTAGTCATTTTCCATTCTGGTAGTTCAGTGGTAGCCAGGTCTGGGAAATATCCGCTCGAATTCCCGCTTCAATAGCTGGATATGGGCTTCCACTTCAGTCTTAAGTTCTCCCTCAAGATCAGCGTTGTTTTTATCGAGGGCGGCGTCGAGGGTGGAAAATGATGCCGCGTTTCCCCTTTGAACTCGACGAAGCCATAGCCCAAGTTTCGCTATGAACGTATGTATGGCATCGTAGTGATCTATGCGTACCTTGTAATAACCTATTGAGAAGATTCAGGGATTTGGAAATGTCAACAAGGTATGCCAACCCAAGTTGAAAACTGTTTGACGCGAATGACAGTAGGAGGTCTTGTTTTCCCTGCGCTTCGAGGAATAGCTTCACTTCCTCCCACAACTCATAAACGCGAGATAACATATTGCCTTTTAACAGCCATCGAACCGTCGTGTGAAACAGAAGAGCCTCATGGTCAGACTCCATATCCTTGCACAACCTCGTTTTGACAGGTGTTGCTTTGACGAAGTTAACAATTCGTATGACAACAGCAAGCTTGTCATCCACTGCAGAAGGCAAGGTCCTAGAGGCCAGAGCTTCCCTGTGAATTACGCAGTGAGTTCCAATTGCGTTTGGGCTTCTCTGCTTCATCCTGCTAATAAATCCACTTCGTGATCCGAGCATTGCAGGGGCCCCATCAGTGCAGATTCCCACAGGGTTCTCCCATTTCATGGCATTGCTGTCAAAATACGCAGAAACAGCTTCAAACACATCTTCCGCTCTGGTGTTGGTTTCAAGGGGTTTGCAAAATAACATTTTCTCCTCAATGCTTGTAGATCCGATAAAACGGACGTAGACCATGAGCTGAGACAATTGGGTTATATCAGTTGTCTCATCACATTGGATGGCGAAACAAGGTGATGATCGTATCTTTTCGAGAACCTGCAATTCGATATCCTTTGCGAGTTCATCAATGCGCGTTTTCATCGTGGAATCGGATAGAGAAATATTCGCTAGCTTCTTGCTGTTTTTCTCTCCCAACACAAGGCTGGCTGCTTTTAGCATGCATGGTTTGATAAAGGTTTCACCAATATTGTGGGGTTTCTTTGCTCGAGCAATCATATTAGCTATCTCGTAACACGCTTCAACAACTTCAGAAAGTGAGGATTGTCGAAAGCTCTCTTCACTCACAATCTTCATTTTCTTGAAAGACTCTGCCAACGGCTTGTTTTGAAGGGAACTGTGTTTGGTTCGAAGATGACGCTGCAGCCGACTTGGCCTCAGAGCGTCATTACTCAGGCTTTGGAGGCATTATGACGCATTTTGCTACGACCTGACCATTCTCTGTCGCATCAGTAAAGCCATATTGAAGATAACTGCTGTCGAACTTTCTTTTTTAACACTCATCTTGTGTCTTACGACTAAATAATCCGCGTACCGATATCCAAAGAGCTAGGCTTGTTTGGGCTTACACGTATCAGTCTATTTATCTCTGTGCTATTATTGCGTCGCAAGGATAGCCACAGCAAGCCGGGATGGGTAGGAGTGAGGCGTGTCCACTTTTGTAGTTGAATGTAATTATTTCGTAGTTGTGCCACTTTGATGACACAGCCACGAAAACCGGGGAGTACTGCAATTCGTAGCGTACGAGTAACCGCCAGGAGGTGACTAAGGCTGCGAGTTAATGATATTCTTCGGAGGCATTGTTGGATTCGTTAGTCGTCGTAATTTAACGATTATTAGCATGTTATACATTTGACAGTTCACGCCCCCCACCCCCTCCCCCCCTGACTGACCTTCGCGCTCCCCTAGGGGGGCGCGCTCCCCTAGGGGGGCGCGCACCCCAGTTTAAAAATCACTGTACTATATGCTCACTGACGTTGATTAAACTAACAAAAATAATTTCAAATAACTTTCAAGCAGAGAATCAAAAGCGAAGTTGGCAATACCAAAAGTTTCCAATTATTAATATCGATGTTCGATATATTCTAACAATAACTTCATAGTCCTCCGAGGATGCTACCTGAAATGCTGGATCATTTACAAACATGGTATATTTCTGATTTGAAACCTCCATCACAAAAAGCTCAAAAATACATCAATTAACTGCAACTTTGTTTGATCAGCTTTATTTCAATCTACCAAAATTTGGCAAAGAAATAAGAAGACTTTGAAAAGCCAAATTGGACGGGAAAAGAAAAGATCTATTTCTCTCCAAGATATTTTTTGTCAAAAAATGAAGTCTATTATTGTAAATTTCTTCATGCCATTTTGCCACCACTATTGATAAGTAGAATTTTTGATTGGCCTAATAACTATAAATAGAGAAAAATGTAATTCAGTCAAAATCAATACGCACCTTGGTCCATCAAAACTTTTCTTCCATTTTGATATATTTAAGTGGCCAAATGAAATCACTTACTTCATCCAATGATCCAATAGGTGAGGTTCTAAATGAGATAAACCTTTTCCCAGAATTTTTTGCTCAGCATGTGTCGCAATTGATGAATTTCTGGGTAAATCAATGTCAATCTGTCTTAAGAACCAAATAGCTTTTGCATTCGAAGGGGTGTTTTTCATTTTAACAATCAAAATTGCTACGAAATCACAACTATACGCCAATTAACAAGGCAGTTGCCATATTAATTGAAGAAATTTGCTAGCCCTTTGGGACAAATTTGATAGACTAGTTTTGCTAAAAGGGTAAATTCAATGAAATTTTAAACTTCTCGAATAATAATATTACGTTTTAGTACTAATCGGAGGTGAGGTCCATAATGTTGTTGACGGTTCGACCACTCAAAATTACATACCTGTCCCTTGACGCTGAAAAAATATTTGCTTAATTCTTAATCTGAGTTGCACTGCATCCTTGCACTCGGCCTACCAATCTTTTTTATTGGCTCTATCGATGAATTTTCTTCGGCCCGCCATGAACTGTACCTTTATTGTCTTCATAACCCGCATGTTTTTTCTCAAAATAATCGCATCATACCTCAGAAAATTATGAAGCACTGTCCGTGCTCACAATCTGATCTTCTTTGATCGGCGACGCACATACAGGCGTAAATCCTAAATCTAGATACCATATATTCAATTCGAATATTCAACAACCTTCGGGCTCTCTAGAGACGATAGTTGAAAGAAAATAAATCACATTTGTGAGTCCATGTATGGCTATTTCCGAATAATGAACTATTTCAAAAACATTCTAAAATATTACTTTCGACTTCCGAATACATTCAAAAATTGGTCATACCACATTTTTGTTTTGATTCATTGAAGCCGAGTAAAATAAGGCTTAATGGAAATATTACAGTAAAACCATAGACATGCAATATATTGAGACGACCACGTCTATAACTCTGTTTTATTTTGTATGCCAATATTTATTCTTACCACTTGAGTCACTAATGAGCAGCTGTGTAACATTCTCTTTCTGCTGGTCTGTCAGACCAATGACATTTCATTGGTCAGACTGCCGGTAGTGTAGATATTTCCTCTGTGTATTAGGTTATTATTATAGTGTTTTTAATATGCCGTAAATCTTATGTAATTCTTGTTGTAAAATAATATTAGTAGTACAGGTTTACTATTTCTCCAGTTTGGCATAACTCTGTTCACTAGTTAGCTTGTATTTAACACTTCCGTAACTAGTCTATTTTCGCAGTTTATTTCCTGTGTGATTTCCACATTTCTATGCGTATTTCCATGTATATTACGTGTTTGTCGATAAGATAGGATTTGTGTTGTATCTTTAGTGTCATACTAGTTATTCTTATGTATATCTAGGTATGTTTTACCCGGTTTTTAGTATCCCATTATAAGTAAATAGTTCATGACTGTGACGTCATAGACCAATTCCGTATCTTGTGTTACGTATGTATCCTACGGTATTTGTACTGTGTTTTTATTTGTTTATTGTATTTCTTATTGGAGTATTTGGTTGTATTAAGTTCTTACAGGTGTATAATTAATCTAGTTAGTTAACTTAGTTACTCTGCTGTATTTGGAACCGCAAGAAGATTATTTTGTGATCGACATCTATAGCAATTACAACGTCCAAGAAGCTGGCAGAAAGAACCTGAGTGGTGATATCAATTTTGGTACGCCACATATACGAATTTTTGGCGAGCACACGCCAGGATATATTATTCGAAACAGGGACTATTAAGACTAAGCCGATTAGGTAGGCTAGTCTGTGACGGATAATATTTGGATAATATTGGACAGATAATTGCCGATATTTTTTTTACTACTGCGTTTGCCTGATATTTTGGAAAAATGGTTAAGAGAAGAAAGATTGTACCGGCACCAAAGGAAGCAAAGGAGAATGAACTTTTGCATCTGCAAATACAGATATTGAAGGCGAAACATCTGAGGAAATGCAAGAGGATATGGACAGCCGTTTGCAGCTGATGGACAGTCGTATAGAACAGATTGGAACTCAGTTGGAATCGGTTGAACTTCAGAATTCAAAAATGGGCTCGCAAATTTGGGGATGGGCAAGATATTTCTGGCAAGATAGAAACAGGAAAAGTTGCTGATCCCGAGGAAACCCAGCCCATGTCACATAAACCAGATGTCAGTCTGATCACTTCAACACCAGCAGCGGTTGTTCCTAAATTACTACCTATTCTCAAGGATGATGAAATTTCAGATTTTGGATCTAAAGATGGACAGCCAGAAGGAAAGCGGAACGCATTCTCACAGACAATGGAAGTAAAATTTTCGGAGGAAGCTCACGTGAGTAATTTTGTACCTGTGGTCCCTTTTCTGAGTACTAATGGTAAAGAGGGCTCTAATACTGTCAAAAAACAACCCAGGGCTAATCCGAAAATGGTTTCAGTGGCTACACAATCAGCTCCTCCAGTGAGTTCTAGCAGTGTCGCAAATGCCAACGTTAGTAATAGTGTTCTCAATAACACAGCCAATGCTACGATGATGGTGAGAAATGCCAAAAGGCCTATGTATTTCGATGGGTCAACTGTCATGGCGTGGCCTAGTTATTTATGTCATTTTCAATTGGTTTCCAGTTATAATCAGTGGAATGATGACACTGCAGGGTTAGAATTGGCTACTTGCATGACAGGGCAGGCTCTTTGTGTTGAAAGATTTACCCGAAATGAAACGTACTAGCTATCGTGATATTGTGACTCCATTTTAATCATTTCTTTAAACCTGCCGGAAATGAGAGTTCATACCGTACTACATTTCACTGTCGTAGGATTAAGCCAAATGAAGCGCCACGGGATTATGGTAACAAGTTGAAAGAGCTTGTTATTCTGGCTTACCCAAATCTTGATATTGCTGGTCAGGATGATATTTTGAAATCGCAGTTTCTCGCCGGTTTAACCGATGAAAGCATGATCAAACATGTTACCATGCAACAGCCTGATAATTTTGAAAGTGCTTTGTCTCTTGCAACACTGTATTACTCTGTCGATACTAACCACTCTGAGAGGAAAGACGTTTCCAAACCGCGTATTGCGGCAGTGAAACAGAGTAATCCTGGTAATGCAGCTAACCAGCAAAACGACTATCTTTCGAAGGCAGTATTGGCGAGCGCATTTTAGCAAAACTGGATGAGATACTAGGACATGTGGCGCCACTCTAACAACAATCGCAATTTTCTGGTACACCACGCAACCCGTGTCCTCGATGTGGTAAACATGGTCATTGGGGTAGGGATTGCAAGGCATGTTTTAATTGCAAGCAGACTGGTCATCTTAAACGGGATTGTCCACATCTCCGAATCCTGTTGACCTGCAACATCTGCTTCTTCTTCGACCGCAAATTTAAACGACACTCAGCGGACTTGAGGTCCTCAGTGTCCGCTGAATTGTTACTTGATGACGTACCAACGAACCAGAATATAGACCGGAATATTTGTTCCTTGCAATATGACAATAGTTGGCATGCGAAGGTACTTGTAAGCAATCAACCGTTCAATTTTCTTGTAGATAGTGGTGCTATGACTACTCTTATTGACATTTCCATCTTTGAGGCTATAGGTGGGAAGGAAGCACAATTGGCACCGCCGCTTATCACCACTGGGTACATTGGAGGTTGATTTATCGATTGATTCGTTTGTATCACGACGCACTGTGGTTGTTGCCAATTTAGACATGACTAGTGGTATTTTAGGCATGGATTATCTCCGAGAACATGACTGTGTTCTTTACTTATCATCGAGACAC